TTTTTTTCTTTTTTTCTTTTTTTTTTTTTTTTTTTTTTTAATCAAACCTAGGTTAGATTTTTTTTTAAGTGCTTTGGTTTATTTTGGGCTATACCTGGGTGTGTACATGTGTGCTTATTTTGTTTTAATCTTACAGGAAATTCCCTCAACCAGACTAGTGAAAGAAGAGTTATAATAGTGGAGTCACAGAAATGTAATTTCCTTGGGACTCTTACAAAAGTAGATGCTGGTAGATTTTAACAAGCTTCTTCTTTCAGCAACACAGTATCAGGAGAGTGCCATGCTCTTTGGAAGCTGGCCTCAGTGTCACTGTGGGCTAGTGCAAAGATCTGTTCTCCCTTGAGGTAGCAGACACAAGAGGGCCATGTGGCATAAAGCTTTGTACAAGCCTCCGATCAGTGCAACATTCGTGGCTGCCCATCACCAAAAACCTCGGGACACTGTAGCTTAAGGTAGTTTCTCTCTTACAATAGTCTGCCAGGTACTTGCAGGATCAGACCAATAAGTTAGACGAAGACTAGATAATACTGTTTTTCAGGAATTAAATACCCCAATGTATTTAATACACAGGTCATGGTGTGCTTGCCTCCAGACGGCTCTTAGATAAGTTATTTTTAACTTCATTAGGATTTTTAAACTTGGAATTTAATTTTATTATAAATTTTGAAGAGCTCTAAAAAGTACTCAGCATTGATATTGCAATTTTCTTCTTTATTGGTTTTATCACAGTCATTTGTTTATTAATTGATCTGATTGCCTCCTTTAGTTTTATTTCCCTAAAGAAATAAAGGTCTTCTAAATAAATAATAAATAAATAAATAAAAGTTTTCAAAATAAGAAGATAGCTACTTTCTTTTTCTAGAAAGTTATGCTAGATACTAAATACAAGTCTGCTTTTACCTGTCAATATCTTATCTCCTGTTTATTGGGCCTAACCATGACCTGACCTAATCCATAAGTCATTTGGCACTTGCCTTTGGGACCCATTAGGCACCTGCGGATGTACTCACCTGTTTCCATCTTGCTAAGGTGCCTATTAGGAAGGCATGTCATTCCTAAACATACATCTGCTGACTTGGTGACAGGCCAAAGGGGAGGGGAAAGGCAAATTAAAAACATTCTAGACAGCAGTGCTGCCTGGGTCTGATCATTGCCCAGATGGGTGAGCCACCTGCAGACCCCCCTTTTCCTGAGACTCCACCGTGAGTCGTCGTGATGGCAGTTCTTTGGGGGCATTATTAGACTTTGCTTTTAAGGAGCCAGCTATGTCGATAAGGGCAGTGGAAAGGCTGCAAGGTGAGCCCTCACCTGTTAGCAGGCTGTGCCTGCACCTCCGGAAAAGCCCTCCAGAGTGTTGGCATCACCAGCCCGCCTTGTAACCGTCGGGGGTCAGCTGCAGCCCCGAGAGCGCCGGGCAGCGCCCGAGGCCTTTGACCCGGCCCGCGCCCAGCGGGCTGCACCAGCGGCACCGAGCCAGGCGGCTTTTGTCAGGCCACCCGAACGTATGGCTGGGAGTGAAATGGCCATGCACTGCTGGTGGGTTTTTGAAAAGAAACAACCATCAAATCACAGTGGGACAGAGTAGTGGGAATAATGGAGGCTCACACAAAATGCTCTTTTCAAAGGTCCCCATTGAAAGTGCTCATTTAGGAAGCACTTACGTAAGTCGTAGCATAGTAGTAAATATTGAATACCCTTGGTATGTTTTGTTTTATTTTTTAAGGAGTGGACCTTTTTTGTAAAGTGAGGCATACCTGAAAATGAAAAGCTCTGAATTACAAAAAAGAAAAAGTTCTAAAGCCCTAACTAATGGCCTACTTAGTTCAGTCAGTTTCAATAAGAGGACATTCCGATGGGAGTTGTTGTTATTATTATTAAGATAGTTCCATAGAGTTTGCTAAAAGATTTCATTTGATGATTTTTTTCTCTTTCTTTTTTTTATTTGTTAGAGTGAACCAATATAACCGAATTTAAAAGTTTTCTAAAAAGAATCAGTAAACCAAAAACTGGTAGAGTTTTTTTTAGTAGTTAAGTCTTTCTAAAACAAATTTTGACACTAAGCCAAATGTTTCCCCGTAGAAATTTTGAAGATCTAGAAACTATAGCTATATGTTTTTCATGTTTTTAATACTGCACATATATTCTTTAAAATGCTTGTCTTTTTAGGTTTCTGGATCTTAGATAGCCACCAGATGTGGATTTTATTGGTGTCCTAAGCCTCATTTAATATTTCTCTTAACTAAGAAATTAATTTGGCCCATCAAGATCTTTCCCCTCTAGAAATACGAAGCATTGCAGGCACTTTGGGTATATAGGATTTATATACCCAAATCTGATTAAGAGGCTGTCCAGACTTTCCATTGTCTTTCTGGTGTTTGGTTGGAAACTTCTGACTCAAAGCTGACTTTAGGTCTTAGTCACTTCAGCAGCCAGATTTTACCATAAGCAAAAAGACATGGACCTAAAGGCTTCAACAACCCTGAAAATTCAGAGCCTGTGAAATATAAAAGCATGAGTTTGATCATTGCATTATACAACCACCATTATTGAGTAAATACTGTGTGCCATACATTTAATCCTTAGAACAGGTGAGAGGTAGATCGTAGGTACCTATTTTACAGTGCAGAGAGGCTAAGTGAGGGAGCTGGGACTCAGCAAGTGGGTAAAAGCCACATTTTCGAACCAGACGGAGGTCTATCTGTGAATGATTCATTTCTTTCTTCTCTGCTTAGTCCACATGTGCCACATTGATAATGTAGGAGAGGAGAGCCAGTCAGTAGTAATTATCATATAAGCACAACAATATCTGAAATAGTGTATACATACTAGAAAGTTGAAAAGCCATCCTTTTTGGCATTAATGGAAATGAAAACTTGAAGAGTTTAACATGTCTTTAAAAAAAATGAATTACGAAAATAGCTGAGGTTTACTGAAGCCTTTAAATCTCAACATGTATAATTTAATAAAGTCCAGTTAGCCAATAATCCCTATTTTATTCATTAGAGTTACTTGTTTAATCCTGTCTTTAATGCAGTTAACACACTTCTTAAAAGAAAAAACCGATTTGAATGAAATTGCAAGTTATTTAATTTTGGTATTTCCCCCCCCAGAATAGGCCTGGTTTTGAGTATTCTTTATTACAGCTTTACTCAGGAATTCTACCCGTTCCACAGTATTGAAATTCTAGATAATTCACCCGCCACCTCAGGACTTCCACCTTCAGCAGACACATGTCTCTGAAACGTTAGTGCCTCTTAGCTCAGCTTCTGAATGAGTCAGTTAGGTGCTACTAGGTACCTCAGGCCTTAATTATTTCCCCAGTGGTTCAGTATCATTTAAGCACCCTTATGGCACTGACTTTTCAAGGGATTTTCATAGTTACCCCTGTAGGTGGAAAAAGCCTCCTGTAAATCGTCTTCTAGGTCTTTCCTTTCCCTACACATCTAAAATATTTCTAGTAATATCACGGCAGTTTTAGATACTTGCTCTGTGGCATTTTGAGGAGCATGCGTGACTGTATATAACGAAGGTAGTCACGTAGGAGCCTATGCAGATGATCAAAGGTACGTCAAGTTGAAGCTTTTGAATATGATACTGCAAAATGTTAGAGATGCTACACTTTTGTGTATTCATTTATAGAACAGCTTTATTGAGAGATAATTCACATACCGTGCAATTCACCCACTTAGAGGCTACACTCACTTTTGACATCACCGCAGTGCTGACAGGTTAATGACACAGTGGGGACCCGTTCTGTACAGTGATGGTGTTAGCAATCAGACTAACCCCAGATTCAGGCCCGCCTTCATTTGCATATTACATATTCATGACTATGGCACCATATAACATTCAAATACCATTTAGCCCTGAATATTGAAATAAAGTCCTACTTGTATTAAAAGAAATATGAATGTTATTACATTTCTACTAGTATGTTATTTAAACAGTGCATAGTTATGGTTGCTATTCAATGACTATTTGAATTAACATATCCTACATTTTTCTTAATTTTCTTAATTTAAAAACATTACCTAGAAATAACTTTAATTGGTAGCTTTTAAAGTTGCTCTTTTAATATGCACACCATAGTATTAATGTTATTTGAATGTTAATTGCTTCACCCTGGATTAAACTGAGATGTTTCTTGTTTGTAGGGAGCAGCTGCAGATGACGGCCAATTGAAGCGAGGTGATCAAATTTTAGCTGTTAACGGCGAGACTCTAGAAGGTGTCACTCATGAGCAAGCTGTGGCCATTCTAAAACGCCAGAGAGGGACTGTAATATTAACTGTGCTGTCATGAGCCTCGGGTCCTGATCACAAGGTAGACGCTGTAGCATATCCATAGGAAGACGAAGCTGAGAGGATGAGAGGCAGCCTCCACTCCAGTCCGCCTGCATTCACTCTTACTGCCCCATCCTCTGCTCAGGAGAGGTGGCTGAGGTTTCACATGAATCTCCCACCTCAGTAACCTCCCTAATGTTTTCCAGCATCTGCGCCCTCTTGGTGAGGTTGAATGCGTCTTATCCGCTTTGCATTTAACATTGATGTTTATCAACTGGCAGTAACTGGTTCTGATTATATTTGCTGAAACTGAAGTTAACGACGACTCATTCCTTATGCCCTCTCCCCCCATCCCTCCTCAAACAGAGGCTTAACAGTAACCTCAGATCTCATCTGGTGAACAGAAACAAATGTTAAGCAACTGTCATCTCACTCATGATTTACTTATGCTAATTGTCTCTTCAAGTACGCCAGAAAACATTAGCAGTGTAATTAATTTACCAGTGATCCCCATGATGAAATACCAAATTCTCCTATGGGAAATTACTGTGCTCTCTTCTGTACGACTTACAGTCAAATAAGTCTCAAACTCATTTCTCTGGCTAGATCTTTATACATTAGTCATGGGTGATTATGATGAGTCAATTTGCAGACCGTAATCTAAAAACTCTGAAAGGCTTTCTAATTATTTTCTTAGCTACATAAATGCAGACTACCTAGCAAAAGCACCTTATTCTCAACAGAAATAATTAACATCCGTGTTCTATATTCTAACAATGCTAAATTATGTTCAAGTCTGAGAAGTTCATCTGGAGTTAATGGCATCTCAGTAGGCAAGTATCATTTCCACCCCTCAGTCTTCAGACAAGGAGGTGGAAGCCCCAAAACCACACTGCAGAGACCAGCAAGTTTTGCCTCAAGTCAGATGAGGTCTAGGTGGCCTTGGCCTTGTGGAACATGAAGTGAGAAATTTGTGTATCCTTCCCCTTGGCTCCATACTGGTCAGTCTAGCTGCACAGATTATAGGAACGTAGATGGAGCAATGTGCTTAACCACAAAGTGACTGAGCAGATAAACTGAGCCTAGGAATCAGTGATTGTTCCTTGGCTAATGTTTCCTGGTCTCCAGGGAGCCTCCCATTTGCTGTAGTTTGCATGCTAAGAAAGCAACTGCAGCAGAAAATACAAGAATACCTTTAAGGTTGGTTAGGGACATTCTTATTTGGGTATTAGCAGGGAAAAAATGGGGAGATGCTTATCAGTGATTGTTTTAGGTTCTTCTGTTAAAAAAAATGCACCATGAGTGTGAGTACTGGGATCATTAATGGAAGTAGTTGGCATTATTTAACCAAAACACAATGCTGCAAATGGTTCACAGTAATTAGCAAAATGTAATGGGCTCTGATTTAAAATGTTATTTAATAAGTATAGATTTTAACTGAGAATTATCTTTGAGTAAATATAATCACGAAGTGCATTAACTCTTGTTGGAATATTTTGTGGCTATTCCAAAGTATAGAGTGCCTAAATTTTATGTTGAAAATGTCTTTCAAGATTGGTATTAAGTTTTTTGAAATTGCACATGGCTTTTAAAATTTCTAATGTATCCAAGATATGCAGTATCGTTAGGATCCTGTCTTTCAATGCATGAGAAGCTATCAACCTCTGAACATTCTATGTTAATGTATCTGCAAGAACAGCTCAGGCACCCAAGAAGAAATGAAGCCCAAATAAAACTTGAACATGCACCTTAAAATAATATATACATATATATACTTTTTGAAATGTGATCCTGCTTGATTTTGATGGAGTGTCCATTAAATACACATTTTGAAATAATATATTGTTGTTGTGTGTCTTTACACATGACCTGTCCTTTAGGTCATGTTACTCAAAGTCTATTGATAAAAAAATTGTAATGCTTTATACTCCTTGCTGCAGTAAACTGACAGAACTTGGGTTTCTCATAACTGGTTCTGTCTCTGCCTGCATGATTAATAAATAATTGCCTTGCCAAAAAATACTTTTTTGCATCAGATAAGCTTACGAGAATAAGAAGATGGGACTTTGTAAAAGGAGTAGTTTTCTCAGCCACATATATTGTTTTGGCTTCATTTGGACCATTTATGTATAGTAATAATATCACTAATTGTAGTTAGCTTGATAGGGAAATAAACCAGGAAGAGCAAAACTGCTGAATGTTTGTATGTACAAGATGTTAAGATTTTAAATAAATGTAATTGCCTAAGGAGCAAATGGAGTCTTATTATATATGAAAAAAGTTCAATTTCTGTACCTGATTTTGTTTTTTCCTTCAGCCATTATGTTCCCTAATAGAAAAAAAATCCAACTTTTCACAGGGTTTTTCAGTGTCCTGTTAAAATCCGAGATCCGCCCTGGCTGGTGTTGCTCAGTGGTGAGAGCATTGGCCCATGCACCGAAGGGTTGCAGGTCCAATTCCCAGTCAGGGCACATGCCCGGGTTGTGGGCTCCATCCCGGGTGGGGTGCATGCAGGAGGCAGCCGATTGATGTTTCACTCTCTCATTGATGTTTCTCTCTCTTCTTCTCCCTTCCTCTCTAAAGATGAATTAAAAAACCTTTTTAAAAAAAATTTTTAATTCAGGTCATAGTTCCAGTTTTATGTTATCCTAATGTAAATGTTACATTTTTCTTTTAATTGATTGATTTTAGAAGAGAGAGAGAGAGAAACATCGATTCATTGTTCCACTTATTTATGCATTCATTGGTTGCTTCTTGTATGTGCCCTGACCAGGGGATCGAACCCACAACCTTGGCGCATCGGGACGACACTCTAGCCAACTGAACTACCTGGACAGGGCACGTTTTTGACAGCTTGACTCTCAAATCTTCAGATTCCCTATATTTAAGTAAAGATGAAAAAAGAAACATTTCACTGTACAATACCAAGATAAAAACTAAAATGTGTGTGTTTGTGTGTGAGAGACTGTGTAAGACTTTAACCTCTACCTGTTCTGAGCATTTCTTTCATTTCCATTCACTTTAAAAAACAGATAAGCGGCTTTGGTCTTGCTTTCCTGAGATGTTGCTATCAAGTATCAGGACCCATGCTGGGCTGAGATATACAGGAGCAAAAATTTCTCTGATCCTCTCTAGAATCAGACTTTAGCAACGAGGGCAGCCTCACCATTGCAGCCTGTCCTGCCCTCCACCGCTGCTGCTGTTTCACCGGTGGGAGAAACGTGCCGGAGGGAGGCCGTGGCTTGCCCAGGCGCCCAGCTGATTTTTAGGCAGAAGAGTCTCCGGTAAACCTGTGGGAATTCATCCATTCAGCAAACTATTGTCTAGTGCCCATGCATGGCTTCTAAATTAGCCTGAATTTTTTAAAGCTTATTTCAGTTCTTCCTAACATAGCTCCACGACACAAAGCACTTACAAGACAAAAGTTTTTTAAAGGGCTAGGTAACAATGAAAAATAGACTTATCTTTTGGATGTTGATAAAGAAGACTCATCACCTCTGCATTCTGGGAAGAATTCCCACGGCAGGACACCTGGACCCCTTGTGGCTTAAGCATTCTCAAGGGAGACATAGCTCATGGCAGGTGCAGTGTCACCAGCCCCTCCTGCTCAATGTGTCGACTGGGCACGTGCCCAGCTTTCCTCTCCTGGAAGAACTAAAGAAATGGTGATGGAATAAAGGGTACCAGGGATTCAGCTCCTCTCAACTCCAAAGCCACATTTTATTTCCCAGGACCTCAAAATAGCTGTTAAAAGACAGGCTCCAATGGCCCCCATACTGAAGGATAAGATTTATCTGTTTTCTGAGATTGGGAGCAGATATGTCCTGCCTGCCACTGTATTAGGGTTCTCCAGAGAAAGGGAACCAATGGGATGTGTGTATTTATATAAAGAGATTCATTATAAAGAGCTGACTCATGCAATTATGGAAGCTGGCAAGTCCAGTATCTACAGCACGGGCTGGCAGACTCAACCCCGGGGAGTCAGTGTGCAGATGAAGCCCGAAGCTGTCTGCTAGAGAATTCTCTCTTGTTCAGGGAGGCCAGGCTTTTTGTTCTATTCAGGCCTTCAACTGATTGGATGAGGCCCACCCACACTATGGAAGGCATTCTGCTAACTCAAAGTCTACTGATTTAACTGTTAGTCTCACCCAAAGAGACCCTCAGTGTTGACATAGAACATTAACTGCCACAGACATCATGGGACCTTGAACTGAAACTCCCCTAGGGACGGCCTTGATTTAGGGTAATCTTTCTTCTTAACCCTTTCCCAGCCTCCTGCCCACTTTGGTGTCCAGAGCTGTGGTGCAGCCACCATCACCTACCACCTCCCTAGATCCCCCAGGAGCAGACAGCTGAGACCTTGCCTCTGTCACCCACCACCCAGGGACCCTAGGTATTTGTATCAGGTGGCTTCTCAATTTATTGATTTGAGGGGTGGGAGGGAGAGAGAGAGAAACGTTGATTTGTTGTTCCACTTATTTATGCATTCATTGGTTGAGTCTTGCACGTGCCCTGATAAGGGATCAAACCCACAACCTTGTCATGTCGGGGCAATGCTCAGCATGATTTTGGGGCCCTTCATAATCTAGCTTCCATCTAAATCTCTGGCAGTTGTATTAACACTAGTGTCACCAAATACTTCCCAGGATAAGCCAAGCTCTCCAACCCCTGACACACACCATTGATTCACTAGCAATGAGAGCGGTGCTGCTCAAGGACAACCACAGACCGCCTTCGGCTTCCACAGCGTCACCTGGGACAAGTGCACGTGTGTGCTCTGCCCTGAACCACTGAACCTCTGGGGTGGGGCCCAGAAATCCGTGTTCAACAGGCTCTCCTCTGGATTTTGAAACCCACGGAGTTAGCGAACCACTAGGCTGGAGCATGCTCCTCCCTTTTGCCCGCGGTCATTTACAACTACAAGTTCTTTTTGGTAAATATCAGTGGCCTCCAATGGTTAGAGTCAGGCAGTGCCTCCCCCTCCTGGCCCCGCTTGCTCTCTGAGGTATGTCACATTGAGAGCAAGTCTGAATGAGTCGGCCACTTGTATAAACATTGATTTGCAGGCAGCATAACACACAGCCCCCACCTGTCCAGAAAGCTCAGCGAGCTGCCCATTCTGTCTTTTTAGGCAAATGTTCTTAACCTTGGATATAGGTTAAAATCATCTGGGGATATTTTAAACGCCCAATGCCTGGGGTATACCCCAGGCCAATTAAAATGGAACTGGAGGGAGGAAGGGTGAGATCCAAGTTTGTGTGTGGTTTTTTTGTTTTATTTTTTAGCTCCCTAAGGGATGCTAATGTGCAGCCAGAGTTAAGAACAATTGTTTGAGGTCCTCCCACAAACACCTAGCTTGAAAACGTTCACTCCTGGGTAACTGTAACACACGCAGGCTTTCTTTCCCATCAGATAACAAACTCTTTCTGAGGAGGTGGGTGGAGGTGGGAGGGGGAATGCAGAACTGAGAGTTCCAGACCTAGAAGGCCCCCTGTTTAATCAAGGGGAAAGGGGTACCTCATCCATCTTCCTGCCAACTATAGATCACTAATTTTAAAAGTGCCCTTAAGTAATTAATGTGCCCTTTAGTATAGCTTTAGATGATATTTGAAGCCATCCCAGGAGTATTAATTTCTTTTTCTTACTTTTTTATTGAATTTATTGGGATGATTTCAGTTTCTGATTGCCCGAGCCCGCCAGCAAAGTCGAACGGTCCTGAGGAAGGGGTGAGGATTGAGAAAAGACAGACACAAAAAAGATGGGATCAGGAGAACTGCAGCTCGTGACTGCAGCCCCGAGTTTATTTTCCCAGCTCAACTTATACAGACTGTTGATTTTGCTGAATAGCACTCCGCCCCGCATGCCTTCAAGGCCGAATGAATGTTCTTTCAGACTAAACACTCTGCCACCCACATGAGCTCAGACCTTGGTGNGACCTTGGTAACTATCTTTATCTCAGCTTCTAATGGGAACTTTTGGGGAGGATTGAGTCCTAGGCTTGGGATGTGGCTTAACTGTCCCTTGACCCTACAGGCCGGCGCCAACTTCCTGATAAGCCTTTCTGGAATTTCTGGCTGCAAGCTAAGTTAGTACTGCCTTGGTGCCTCAAAGTCTGGGTCAGGGAGCAGGAGAGCAGATCTGCAGCTCACCCAGGCAGCTCCTCCGTGCCTGGGGCCACAGCAGCTCCCCACATCTGATGATCCATCTTTGGGCACATTCCCAATTGGGGTACACTTCCAGTATTAACTCACCACCCCTGGGGTGTAGGTTAAAGCTAGTTTACATTGCACATCACACTAAGTATATTACAGTATCTACAGATACTATAATAAAGTCATCTTTTAAATGTCACTTCCTTGGGGAAGGCTTCCCTGACCTCACAGACATGGATAAGTCACTCTCCTCTGCTTGGGGTCACCCTGAGCTTTTCCAATCACGTCAGCTAGATGATGGGAGAGTTGGTATTTGATAACTTGTCTCTTACTTGTGCCAAATTCTGAATACCTTAAGGACAGAAACAGTGTCTTTCTCGCTATTGTATCCCCAGCACCTAGCATAGTTCCTGGCACAAATTAAATATTTTCTGAATTGAAATATCTGATATCTGTCTAGCCAGTATGCCAGATACGTTCTTTTAAATCTTTCTCTGTAATTGACTTTGAATGCTTTTTTTTAAAATCTTCACCCAAGGATATTTTTTCTATTGCTTCTCAGGGAGAGCCAGGGAGAGAGAGAAAACCATCCATGTGAGAGAGACATATTGATTGGTTGCCTCCCGCAAGTGCCCCGACACGTGCTAGGGCTTGAGCCTGCAACCGAGGTACGTGCCCCTGGGCAG